AGTGATGGGAAATCCCAAGGATGAAAGGGTAATGTGTACGCACACCTTACCCTTAAGATAGAGAAGCTGTTTCTGAAAACTCCTGGTAACAAAAGAAAATAAAAATACCATGCCCTACACTTTGACACACACAAATATACCACACTATGCTCTTGACCGGTACTAATTGTATAAATGATGCAACTGAAACCAAGGGCAAGTTACTACTGATGTGGCATTAGATTTTGAAATTTATTTGCTTATTTGACAGTAAGAGATGAAATTCTAATATCAGTGATTTCCCTCTCTAACAAACATGCACGCAAACTGTCATCAATGTAGTGGAACAAAAGAAGACCTACCGAGAGAATTCCCCAGCCAGTGGGTATGAATGCTAAGATGCATGCGAAAACATCTGTGACAGTAAGATCGGTAACTACAATCGCAGCTGCTAAACCAGCAACGGCAAGCAAAAACGATAGGCCTTGGATGAAACGCAGCAGCAACTGAAAATTAACTGATATTTTCTGGCTGAAAGTGAACACCTGTGGCATCCCAAAATAATAGATCTCGTTTGAATATCCTCAAACTCAATTTTAGAAACTAAAACAGATTAAAAACTTGGTTCAAACCTTGAAGAGGACTAAGATGACAGCAAACGCAATCCATGAAAAACCATACACCTGAGAAACAATAAAGACACAAGGACCAGCAGTCAGCCTCACTCAATAGACAGCTAATACTTGTCATATCAAAATTGATTGTACATGAAAACAGAACACTGAGAGCAAACGTGGCAGAGGGTAACGTCAAAAACCAAGTTTTCTCCAGCTCATCATACCTCACTACTACGACCTCTAATCAACTGTATGTGGTTCACAGTTGAATCTATATACTTCATTAGATACGCATCTTGTGCTTAAGATTGTAAGACCTAACAATGAACTTTGTTCTCTCATCACCAATTGAGTGGTAAAAAAACTTGTTTCCTCACAACATCAAAGTTCATGCATAGAAACTTGTTCATGCATAGAAACATCAAAGTTTCCTCACAACATCAAACTGACTTGGGTTCTTCAAACACGTGGTAGATGCAAATTCGACCTGTGCATACTGAACGTTTTACAATTTGATGAAAACTAGGCACGTAGGCTTCAAAAGATGGCCCCCAAAAGACAACAACATTTATCGAGTCTTTTAAGACCAAATTAAGACAGATATGGAACAATATTAACAGGAAATGTGTAGCAAATGTAGTGGACTACAGGAGGGTGAAGATACACTCAGATGGCAAAATCATAGTAATGGGATGTATTCAGTCAGCTCAGCATACAAAGATATGAACCGGGAGGGATCTCAACTCAGTTTATGGCCTTGGAAACACATATGGAAAGTAAAAGTGCCTTATAAAGTGGCATGTTTTACCTGGTTGGTAATTAGGGAGGCTGTCCTCACTCAGGATAATCTAAGAAAGAGTATACCAATTGTTTCAAGATGTTATTTGTGTGGACAGCCATCTGTTTCTTCATTGTAGAGTGACCAGCCAATTATGGGATTTGTTCATTAATCTCAGAGGTGCTAGATGGGTAATGCCAGGGAGAACCTCTGATCCTTTATTATGCTGGAACACAGAGATAGACTTTACCACAGACAAAAACAGATGGAAAATTGTCCCAGCAACTAATTGATGGACAATTTGGAAAGAAAGGAACCTGAGATGCTTTGAAGATAAAACCAACTCTCTATAAAAGATTAAGATGAAGTGTATTCTTCTTTTTTGTTTTTGGTGTAAATCAGAATACGTAGAGGATCCTGATTCAATCCTAGATGTTTTGAGTTCCTTATAAGAAGAACAAGGGCTATATTTTTGCTTTTCCATATTGTAATTGCCTATTTTGGCTTCCAGCACAAAGTTTGTGCTGATGATTTTTTGAATATACTGGACAGTTTACCTTCTCAAAAAAAAGTGTAGCAAAGAAAGGAGAAAAGTTAGATAAAGAGTAACAATAGTACCGTTAAAGATGTATTTGTTCCCTGAACATCTAACTTGTAGACAATGCCATATTGGAATATAAAAAATCGTAAGCTAAGAATGGTCTCCATCACCCTCCCTCCAAAGGTTCGAATATGAGCCTGTCAAAAAACACAAAGGTGACGTCAAATTCTTTTAGAAGAATATGAGTGAAATCAGGAATTGTCAATAGACTCTAACGCAGCTACACATCAACAGTTAAGGAAAGAAGCATAGTTATTTAGTTAATGCACTCATCTCATATCGAAGAAATTATAAAGGAGAATTCACATAAACAATATATAAAACCTGCTTACAGTAACTAATTCAGAAAAGTGTAGCTTAGCTCACATGTCTCGAGTAGATATACAATACGCTTATACATTATAAGCATCCCAACATCTAATTCTGATAATCCATATGCAGGGCCAAAAGCAAGAAAGGCACACATAAATATGATCACAAAGAGTGGGTAAGTCAATCCACTGTAAGTAAGTTTTTCGGTAAGTAGTAAAAGCAAAAAATAGAAAATGAAAAAGAAGAGTAACGACAAAACTCCACCCCTTTGAACTTCTTATAATCAGTTGTGTACCCTTACATTTTCACCAATTCATAATAAACCAATAAAAAGTGTAGAAAGCACTTGCATTTTTGTAACTTTTGGGATGAACTAGAAAAGATGTTATGACAGCGAAATTGACTCATCAGTTGAATTCAACACCAAGAGGAAATTGACATATGTGGTGACGACCCATTTTAAAGCATCTATGTCAGTAGTTTAGCACAAAACCACACAATTTCTCAGGCTCAGAGAATTGATTACCCCTATTTTATTTCTCATTAGTAAACTGATGGAGATTAATAGTGAAGGTCAATAACCACATTCTTATCAAAGTAGAGATCATACCAGTTCCTCATCCCACCAGGCTTCCCAACTTTCTTCCCCTTTAACACCAATTCCACCTCTATAAAGGAGCCAGTTGGTCCAGTCACGGAAGTCTTCCACTGTCCTATAGAGGAACACAAGAATGATGACAAGAAACAAGTAAAAATATATGAACGTCCAAACATAATAAAGCATTACTTACTTCTGCCATTCAAATCCCGCTGGATTAAACAAATATGGAGCAAAAAGCCAAGAAACAGCTAAGAACCAACTGCTAACAGTGAGAAGTATGTAGGATAAAGCACCATCGTTGTAGCCATAAGCAGCATAAACCACCAACAGAAGCACAATTTCCATGCTGAAGAAGGTCAAAGATTGGTAAACTATTTGATATTCCCACAAGAACAGAAAAGAGCTATGACAAAATGACCACATAGATGTGCGCACATGCGTGTGCATGCACTCACACTGACAGACACACACACACAGAGACAGAGAGAGAGAGACCCCTTTACGAAATGACTGCGGGAGTAGAGCCTGTAATTCTCAGTAAACTTGATGTGTTTAACGACAAACCCCCTACCAGTTGCATGATACTGTTAAGAAAAAGATTTTCTGATTAGTTCTATGCCAAGATATAAGAATATTTGAGTAGCGAGGAGGAGATGGACCTACTTTTGCACCACCATGGAGGATAGTCCGACCGAAGTAATGTGTCCTAGTGCCCAGGGAGAACGTGAAGAAGACAGTGCAAAGCTGAAACTGCATAGTGACAAAACTAACAACAGCCTGCAGCGACAAGAATGATGTCAGTCAAAGCAGAGAATAGACAGGCAGTTAGAGGCCAGACAAGAAGGTTATGCACCATGAAAAAAAACACAAGATTTGAAATGTGAAAGACCACCCAAAAAATAAAGTAGCAAAGCATTTGATGAGTTCTCCATAGAGATTAGCGGCGTTCTCCAGGAATTTTTTTGGAGCTATTGCAAAAAGTTTTAGCATGAGCTATGTTGCTCGGATTCTTCGACAATGTAGCTGGGTGCGTGTCGGATCCTCCAAAAATAGTTTTTTTAAGGATCCGGCACGAGTGCGGCAGAATTTTGGAGAGTTCGTGCAACATAGAGCATGAGACATTGTCTGCTTAGATCTTCAAGAAGTTTGTTTTGAAAAAAACAGTTCTGTGAAGAAATGGTTTGACAGTGCTTCTTCAAAGAACAAGCATTTTCCACTCACGGAACACTTAGAGATCTTCAGAAGTAATACAGCTAACAAAACACATTTTTTCGCACAAACTTCTTTTTCAAAATAATTTTTTTCAAAAGTTGTCCAAACTGTATATCTTTTGTGAGGATTGCTAACAACAAAGATACTACAATCTAAAGCTAAGAAGGTAAAACAGAGAAATTATTTCCAAAAGATTGAGAAGAAGCTCAAAAGGCGAAAATATAAGCATCATTTCTCAAGGATAAGAAAAACATGCTCATTGGTCGCTCAATTAAGATTTTGTAAGCAATTCAAGTAATTGCTCAATTATTAGTCAATCATGTTTGGTAAAAGAAGAGAACTTCTTTAGCATAACAGATTAAACTATGAGAAGGACCTAAGAAACATACCCTTAGGAAACCTTGTTCCAGAATGAAACCCAGAATCATGGGAACCGCTGTAAAGACACCAATCTGAAAAAGAAATTGTGCATTGAGAGCAGCACTGAGTGCATCATTGTCTGATATATCAGCTCTATCCTCAATAGTGGCACCAACACCAGATAACGCCTGAAAAAAATTTGCAGATATTCAAAAAGAGGCAGGCCATGAATATTACATATAGTTCTTGAATAGTCTGACAAACAGCACGCGAAGAATAACATTGACAAATCAAAAAGGTGTGAATGGAAACTGAATTGCGAGTCCCGTGCAGAATCTTTCCACAGAATCCACAATTTGGAAGCAGAAGTTTGCTTGCTCATAGAATTATCGAAATGCTAACTGCACCATGAGAATAACACTGGTGCAAAGATATACGTCAACTAAATGAGCAATCCTAACTTACTTTGAAAGGTCAAACTGTACACCCTATCTGTAATAGCTTAAGCATCTGGAGTTATAACTGATACCCAAAGTACCCAAAAGCAAAAAATTGTCTGAGTATTTACCAGATATGCCTTGCCATAGAGAAAAGCATAAACACTTAGCACTGTCAACTGCACAAAAGTTTAAAAGGATCTGTCAGAAACATCACCATATACCTGGCAGTTGAAAGCTGCAATAAGCATACAAAGCACAACCCATATTATAGCTAAAGCCTAAGGAGATCACAACTAACACAAGGGATAGCATTTAGAATGCGAAATTATACCATTGTGCAGAAGTAGAATCCAACAGTTGTAAAGTAGAACGATAACATTCTAAAGAAATCAAAGAGCTGGCCGAGCCTGTAAACATCTCTACTGAGAACTTGTTCACCATTACCACCAGCAACTTTGCCTTCAAATAATGCAATCTGGTTGAGCCCGACATCTCGTCCCTTGCCGACCTGTATGATCTTAGTTTAGGCACTGCCATCATATATACATTCAAACACAGAACGGCTGGTAAATATTTACCTGAATATATTCATGGTGAGTAATATTTCCCTGCCGTAGAGTTGAACCAAACCCTGCATTTATACTTGAAAAATTGAGCACTACGAGCATGCTTGCCCAAGGTTCCAAAATCTACTTATTCTGAGTACTTTTTTCCAAATGGAGTTTTTGAAAGAAAAAAAAAGGGACTTTGGGGCTGCAATTTATGCTTACCCATATCATTTGAGAAGAGCTTTTGTTAATAGTATAAAACAGCTTGTGTTTGGTCAATCTTTCAAAATAGTGCTTTTGAGCGCCAAATTATATAAAAAGACATGTAAAGATATACTTTACAATTATCATAATTTAAATATATTAATGATTTTAAATATTTATTATGAGAGATTTTCAGTAAGATTCTTAAGTTCATTTTTACAATGTAAAGAAAAAATCACGAGAGAGAGAGAGAGCAGGTTTATCAGTCTTTGGCCAAAGATGTAATGTCAACAATGCATAATTCTTTGTCTGTACTATGGGAAAGTTTGATAAATATAAATTTTTGGTAAGCATATTTTTCGCCTTGGAAGTTTTATATGGAAAAGGGTTAAATTTACCCCTCTACTTTAAAATGATCAAATTTACTCTATGTTATACTATTGGTCTAAAAATACTCCTAACGTTACACAAGTGGCTCAAATATATCCCTCCTCCGTTAAAGTTGTCCAAGGTGGACACTCAATCCCACGTGGCACTGACACCTTGGTGAGGCGGACACCACATGGCATACCACCTCATCACCCCAACCCATTTTACCCCCTCCCTCTACTTCTCCCACCAAAACTTGGCCAGAGTAATTTCTGCAGCATTACTACAGTAAAGAATTAGTTGCTTCAAGATTCAAAAGTAGCACATACAAGGTGATCAGAATTCGGCGTAACCAATTCATCAAGTGGTCACGCGTTAATCCGGTTGAATGAGACCTTCTTAGACTATGGGAGAAGAAAAAAGAATCCCGAAGATGAGGGGATCATGACTGCCATATCAAATCCAGGATCTATCTATTTAAGGTAATAAGGCCAATAATCCCTCTTTAGCACCAAAAGAAGCTTAATCATAGTATGCTTCATTCCTTCCGCACCCATCAAGCTCCAAAAAAAATAAGGCGTAATATTTGCTTCTCCATAGGCTTAAAATTGTAGTTTCAATCTTCGTAATTTGCTTGAGAAAGAGTAAATTATCGCAGATCCTCATGAAACTTTGCAAAGAAATTCATTACTGGGCTGATTTCTAAGATAAAAACTTTTTATTCCTCAAAAATCACATATTGATGGTGGAGTGGTGGTGGTAGAGAGGGAGGAGGTGCTAATGGTGGAAGAAGAAATGAAGATGAGAGGGTAAAATGGGTTTAGGTGATGAGGTGGTTGCCATGTGGTGTTCACCTCACCAAGATGTCGGTGCCACATAGGATTGGATGTCCACCTTGGACTGCTTTAACGGATGAGCCACTTGTGTAACGTTAAGGGTATTTTTAGATTGATAGTATAACGGAGCGTAAACTTGATCCTTTTCTTATAGTAGAGGGACAAATTTGACCCTTTTCCCTAAAAATAACTTCTCCAGCATCTGCTTATGCTTTCAAGAAGAAGCTACATTTTTCAGTTTCTTCCCCACAGCAAAAGAAGAAAAAAAACTTCTGCCACTACTCAAAAGAACTTATTTCTTTTTGGAAACTTGGTCAAGCACCTAACTATTCGAATTAAATACTTCTTTTCGTAAAAATAAGCACTTCTAGTTTTACAAAAGCTTGGTCAAACAAAATACTACTCACTAGTCATGACACAATAAAACTCATAACGAGGACACTGATTAATTATACAAGCAGCAGAATATCAAGTCACTAACTTTTTCATGTCGATTAACTGGTTGAAGATTTAAGAGAAATGAACCAAAAGAACTAGGTTGCAATCAAAATTGGAGAAGACACAAGCTGGGAATAAATATACTAGCTGGGCAGAGGGCAGAGAAATCATATGAACCTACGGTAATATTATTAATCTAGGGGACATCATCGTATATGAGTTTTAGAATAATTATGTGAATGTATGTAATTAGTCCTAGTCCCTTATGTAATAGGAGTATGTTATGTGTTAGGTATACAAATAAATAGGGCCTATTGTAACATAGAATTTTAATCATCAATAATATTTTCTCTTGTGCTTTCTCACATGGTATCAAAGCACCAGTGAGAAGAGATCGTTGCGCGTCATTCCAGCGATATTCGGGAAGAAACAACTCAGTCACCGTGCGATTTTCCGGTGACCTAAGTGACTATTTGAGTCAAAGTCACTAATTATCAGTTTTGTGCGAAATCCAACACCACCAAAAGGTTCCCAAGAGATAGGCGACCAAACCCCAGAAAAGAACACCTGGAAACACACCCCCACGCGCCCCCATGCGCCTGCCGGAGTTCTGTCGCCGCCGGCGTGTGAGGGATGTTCCGGCCAACATTTGAAAAAATTTCTTTTAGACAGTGTAATCGTCTTGCAATTCCGAGCCTACCCATCCAATTTAAACCTAATTCTGACAATTTTATATTTTCCGGTGTGAACAGTGATTTCCGCTTTGAACAGTGATTTTCAGAAAATTTTCTGATTTTTCTGGCGTTAATAGTAATTTCCATAAGGGATTTCTGATTTTTTTTCCGGTGTGAACATTATAATGTCATTCTTATTAGAAGCCTTAGACACATAATCCGTTGGATCGAATGCATTGAATCCAATCCAGATGGTTTCTTTACCGGATTATATTGAGTTCCTTCAGGACAAAGCACGTAAACAGACATCTTCAGGATTAGCCTCCGTTGTTCCAACAAATAGTAGCATGACTTGTGTCTCCCAATCTTCACCTTCTGAGTCTTGGGTCATTGATTCAAGTGCATCTGATCATATTTCTGGTAACAAATCTCTTTTCACTAGTATTTCATATTCTTAATCTTTTCCAACGGTCACAATGGCCAATGAGTCTCAAATCATGGCAACTGCAATAGGACAAGCAAGCCCACTTCCTTCCTTACCTTTAGACTCAGTTCTTTATGTTCCCGTAGTCCTTTTAATCTCATAGTCGTTAGTCGCTTAGCCAAATCACTTAAATCTGTTGTTCTATTTCTTGATAACCTTGTTTTTATACAGGAACGCGGTACAAGGCGGAATATTGGTACCGAACGTGATCAGATGGACTTTATTACCTTATCCTTTCAAAATCACATGGACTCGTATCTTGTTTTCCTTCAATAACTTGTCCCATTACTGATTCACCAGATTTATTACATAAACGGTTGGGACATCCCAGTTTGTCAAAACTTCA